CAAACAAAAAAAAACACTTGTGCAGCACTGCCTTGCTGGGTAGTTGGGTTGTATCTCTGTGCCTTCTGCTGTGTGAGTCTCCCGTAATCTCATTTCTTCTGTTCGCAAATGGAAGATAGCCTCCAGGGGAATGCTAATTTTCAGAAAGATTTACTGAATAGGCCAGTAGTAGTTGAGGGGAGTATTGCCCTATGGGCAATCTGTACTACACCTAGCTTGTAGAATGAATTGGTATCTTACCACCTTTGCGTTTGCGATATCAAAATAATTTTATACAAAAATATACAACTACAAAAATATGCAACTGCAAAGTTGCAGCCTTTGTAGTTTCGCTTTATCATAACGTTTCTGCCTCATTGTTCTGACCGCATCAGTGTTGCCTCGTTAGTACAAGAATCTCTGCAGTAATCTTCTCCCACCAACAGTAGAATAAAGAATGAGAATGCAGACTCCTTATGTTTAAATGGTAAGCTTTTTAGAGACAGAGAGACAGAAAGGCTTTTAATTATATCCTTTTTGTTCTGTTTCCTTTTTTTTTTTTTTTTTACAGTAGTGATTTGTGAGCAATGATTCAGAATACTACAACCCTGCTCAGAGTAGATGACTGGAGTATTGATATTACTATTATTCTAATACTGCTAGATGTTTAATGTTTCCTCCTCAACATTTGATGCTATTGACCAGGATTTAGGCAAGTAAGAGATGTTCTTCTCTTGCAGCAGGTAGGTGGAGTTAATAATTCCAAGTGGAATGGAATAAAATTAAAACTTTTGTTTTTTTCTTATTACAGATAGCTGCTGCTTTATGGTGGTATTATGTCTCCAAAGGAATTGAATACTTGGATACAGTATTTTTCATTCTGAGGAAGAAATTTAACCAAATTAGTTTCCTTCATGTCTATCACCATTTCACCATGTTCACCTTATGGTGGATTGGTATTAAGTGGGTTGCAGGTGGACAAGGTGAGTGTGGGTTTCCCCTCCCATCCCCCCACTCCTCATCCCACGCACACACAAACTCGTTCACCTTTTTGAATGGGTATAATGGAGAATTATTATTTGGGATGAACAGAAAAGAGTTTTCATAGTCTTAACACTGCATGATATACAAGACTGTTTAGATAGCACTGAAACAATGTGGTAGCTTTAATATGCACAAATTTCCTCTATGGGAAACATGGGGAAACAGGGCCATAGTCTAATGAATTTCAAAATTGTTTTTTTTTTCCCTCCTTCTGGCCATCAAATGAAAGCCTGAGGTTATGTCTTCATATAGAACAAGGATAATTTGGAAATAAAAAGATGAATGTGTCTTGCCTACCTTTAACTTTTGCAGATACAGAGAAGTGCAAAATCTAATTATGGGCCACAGTCTGTGTGCAAATGTAATGAAGTTATTGGAGACGATATTTGACATTATATCTGAGTTTGGGTTTTTTCTTTTTTATAAAGATGCATATATAAAATTCTGAAACCTTCCCATGAAGGTGAGCCATTAAATCTGTCAATTAACTTTAAAAGATATTCATAATGGCACAAGTCTATTATTCATGATCTTTATCTTTTTTTTCTTGCTTCTACAACCCAAATCAAAGAATTTTGTTCCATTGTTTTTTCCACGTTTTACCTTTCCTGCATTGTACCTTTGCTCTCATCATTGCTGCCTTTTCTCTCTCAAATTATAAGCTCTACAGAGCTAAGGGTTCAGGGAAAACATTCTATTCTGTTTGCAATGTGCTTTGTAAGCTTAATACACTAAAAATTACCTACAGTAAACACTAAACTAAGGTTTCTTTTGTCACATGTTCCCAGTACTTACAGTATGTGGGCTTTACGCTCTCATTTCCTGTAGATGTCTTGTAGTGAGTGGTTGTTTTTGTTCATAAGGAAAAATATTTAAAACTATTATCTATAGCTATGGCTGAATTTCTCCAGAGTAGTCTGCAGGATGTAAGTACTCAAAGAGATGGTTCATAATCTTTGGTAGTTACTGCACCTGTTAGATAAGTTCAGCGGAGACAGGATGCTTGCCTGTAGTCTTACCTGGAAATTCCATGGACACCTGAAAATACCCTCTCCCTTATTGCCTTTTATAATTTTTTTTCATGTTTTAAACATCTGCAGTATTCAATGCAACAGCTGGGACTATTTCCAAACTTATTTTGGTTTTGTGGTGTTCCTGCACTGCCTCTTAGTTTCTAGCTCCTGCAAAAAAGAAAAGCAACAGTTGCTCTTCTGCATTTATGGAGGGCTGCAGCATAAACGCAGACAGATCTATGTTCTTCTGTTTTGTATTTGACAGCACATTGCCTATATAGATAGATCTATTATAAATTAGCTGACAGGGTCTAGATACCACAGAGAAATCTGAATTGTCTAATACTAGTAGCTACTGTTTGTACTGCCCAGTGGTTTACATTACAGCCCTTTCAAGCCTCTCCGGCAGTGTAGGAAAGCCTTAAAAAGATATAATTTGCTTCTGTTAAATGGCTGCATATCTTCACAGAGCTAAGAGGTCTTAACGCAAATGAGAACTATCACCTTTGTTTCCAGAATAGATTGTTCTGGAAAATATGCCTTTTTTTTTTCCTAAGAATGCTGAAGTTTGCCATAAATAAGAAAAATAAAGATGAGCTTTTAAGAGAGAAACTCGCTTTGCAGTGCCCTTAACAACTACAAATGAAGTTTTACTTTGTATTATATCTTGGTCTCTTTATTCAGACTTCCACATGAGTTTCTTAATTTCTTGCTGGAAAGTGAATCTTACAAATTTTACTAATACATATCTTAATAGATTGAAGTACAGAACCTGATACTTCTCTATTGCATTGTGGAACATTGCTTTTAACAATCCCTTAACAAACCAATTGCACTTATACTACAATAACTAATGTGGAATGCTTATGATAAATGTCTATTCAACAAAAATCTGTATGAGTGACTCTTTACAGGAGTAGTTCCATGAAAGATATGACACACTACTCTCATGAACAAATATTTGTGTTAGTACATGTCAGCAGTTAGGTCTATGCAGTGGAATCTTTCAAATATGGAAGTGCAGTGTTTCCTGTGCTTCATGATTGTACTGTTATATGAATAATACAAGAATAGAATTTTTTCTCATTTTTTCAGAGGTACACTAAAAAATCTTCCCTTCTATTTCTGGACAGCTTTTTTTGGAGCTCAGATGAATGCATTTATTCATGTCATTATGTACATGTATTATGGATTAGCTGCCTGTGGCCCTAAATTTCAGAAGTATCTGTGGTGGAAACGATACTTGACCATATTGCAATTGGTAAGTAAAATTCTTCTCCCTTTATCTCAGAAGTTATTGCTTCTGAGCAGATTTGTATCTGCAGAACTCTGCAACAGACTCTTTCCAGAAGTACGTAGCTATCTGATATTTATTCATAGCTCAAGTTAGAAATGACTATATTCCTTGGTGAAATTAAGCAATCAAAATAATTGCTAAAGTATATAACCATTGTTGTATGAATATGTGGAAAAAGCTCTTCCAAAAAAAAGCTTATTACTGCTCATGAGTATTTTAAAGTCTTAAAAGCTTTTTATTTTCACAAAGAAATTGCTGTTATTTAGTGGCACAATAAAAATAATTATTACACTGGAAAAGTGCTAAAGACCACTTCACAACTCGGCCTCAGGTTGGCAGAGTTCCCCCCACACTCCCACAAGTGCAAGCAGCCCACACGTGCAAGCACTCAGTTACCATAAGGCAGTAATACCACATCTGGTTATCCTATTCTAAATCCCTTGAAATTACCATCTTAGTTTAAAGGACAAGCTTTCCCCCCACCCTTTTGTTTCCTGATGTTCAAATCTACTTTAGGACTAGTAAAAGAGCGCTGGAGATGGAAGCACTTATTTTATTTCTCAGAAAAGGTGCAGCACAGATAAAAGTTGTACAAAAGTCTTCTAATACTGCTTTACTGGTTGTTTCATCTGTGAATTGCAAAGACCTATTTAAAGGCAGAGAAAATCCAGATCACTTAATGTCTTCTTGTTTTTCTATCTTTGAAAACTGGCTTACCAGGGTCTGTAATAAAGTTGATCTCCATGATCAGTCATATGTGTGTGTGCATGATCTGGCAGGCAATGATACCCTTCCTCCTCTCCCCACTGCTGCCCTGGCCAAGTTTTAGCGGTTTTCATAACCTAGTGCATTGGCATGCATTGGTGCAGTAAGATCCACAGAATATATTAAAACTTTCTTGATTCTGTATTTTCTGTCTTCCAGGTGCAGTTCCATGTGACTATTGGCCACACAGCCTTGTCTATTTATATTGATTGTCCTTTCCCTAAATGGATGCACTGGAGTGTAATTTTCTATGCTGTCACCTTCATTTTCCTGTTTGGTAACTTCTACTATCGGACATATAAACTGCCCAAGGAATCTGTAAAGAATGGCAAAATAGCAAATGGTGCTGTTGCAAATGGAGTAAGCAAACCAGAAAATAATCCAGTGGTGGAAAATGGAAAAAAGCAGAAAAAGGGAAAAGCAAAAGGAGAGTAACTTGATCCAGGCCTTAACCATTGTTGGCAGTGAGGAACCTCCTGTTTGGTTTATAAAAGGAAAAAACCGCTATCTATCTGTACCAATTAACCTTAGGTCACTGAAGAGCTAGAACACAAATATTTTCGTTATTTATGAAGATTGTTTTAACAACACTTAAAGTTGAATTTCTATTGTAATTATGTAATTATCATGCATATGGTCTCTATGTAAATTTGTAGACTGCTGATGTTGGTGAATGTAAGGAAGAATTGCAGTAAATTCCATATTTAGCAGTCCAAAAGTTAATACTATCACTGATACAACTGGTTTGGTGGACACCTGCATGTCTTGGGAGGAGGGAAAGGAAGGAAGTAGTATTTGAATACTTGTGTTTTTTTCCGAAAAAAGATTATTAAATTTTAAATGATGATGCATTATCTAATCAGAATGCACAACTTCTCTTGTCCTCCTTGGAGGGTATCTTCGGACACAACTACGTTTATGTGCTGTCAGAGCAGTGTTTGACTTTTTAGACATTACTTGATTTAATTTAGCGTCTGTTACAGTTTTTCTTGTGTGGAAATATACCTACCTCTTCATCTGCTGAAAAGAATATTAAGCATTAAATAACTGATTTCTGAAATATGGAGTCCCCTAATATAACTGTCCGTTAACACTAATTCAGGAGAAAATTTGATTTCCTTTGTGAGTACAGGGTTTTTTTTGTTGATTTTGTTCAAGTGTGTTTTTGGTCAAATCATCAATGTTGTTCTTCAATATGAACTTAAATTTTGGAGTACTATTTTTATTATGGCTAAGTGAATAAAACATTTTAAGAATGTATGAATATGAAACAGTACATTGTCTGAAGCAAGCAATTAAAGTAGGCCCATTGCATGTTGTTTGTGACCTGTGTTAAAGCTGTGGTGCTGACTGGTAGTGAAAACGGTAAGATAATGTTATGGTGGAGAGAACACAACAGTATGTAATTGCATTTAGAAATGCTGTGTGTATGTGGTAGTCATGCTGACTACAGGACAGACCCTTTTTATTGGAGGAGAGAATTCAGGTATAAAGTACAGATGTAAATACAGCAAATATAAAATGTTGAAAATACTGCTACTGCTTTATATACCCATCAACACTCTATGCATTAGACAATTACAGGCAAAATATTGCTAGTAGTCAGGCCACTGCTTTAATGTGAATGCCAGAGATGGGCTCCTGAAACTCTATTCCCAAAGCATTCTTAGCTTTTTCAACCTAACTGATAAGTGATTCTACTGATCAGTTTTTTAGTCCAAACTGTAAGTAGAAGCCTCTTTTCTTCTACAATAAGTAGAAGCCTCTTTTAGACTTCTTTTCATCTCACTTGATACGTTAATGGACTTATTACTCCTTTTGTGAAGAAAATATGAAAGTTATTTCCCTTCCATATAATGTGATTACCATGAGAGAAGTTTTGTATTGCCCATCATGTCATGAGTATGAGACAGGTGGAATTAGAAACCGTTTCTTGAACTCCCAGGTTCCTTTTTCATCACTGCAAGAGCTGATCTGTTGCTGTCTAAATGCATTCTTAACAGCTTTGATCAAAAACATATTCATTGTCAAACTTGCATCAGGCAAGTGACGCTTATTACAGGAAAAAGTACATGAAGCTCTAGGTGTAAAGTGTCTGGTACAATTATTAATTTTTGCATCTCAGTTATCCATTTGCCTGTTATTTATAATATGCAAGCAAGTCAAGATCTTTGTCCTAGGTTTGTCTCTTGTCATGGTACTGAAAACTCTATCTAAACCCAAAATATAGGTTTTTAGGAGGAAAAACTTTGGATATAGTCTGTACTCAGAAATAATTACTAATGCTGGATTGATTAGGCTGGAAGGTGGATCATCAGTAATAAACTCTACTGTGGGTTTTATGGCAGAGTATAGGATTGTAAGGGGCTGTCTCTGCTGAATGGTAGTACCTGTGACCATTAATTTTACTCTCTGCTTTGTCTTATGATTCTTTCAGTCTTTGTGTTGATGCTTTTCACTTTTGTGTAGCTCTGTATGTTTATGTAAAGTGGCATGGGGAAGAGGGAAGGTGGTCTACTTCCTTCTTAGACAAATGCCATTACCTTTAACCAAGCCAAAATGTTACCTGACTGGATAACTTCAGAATGGAGCAAATTACTACAAAGCAAGCTGGACAGCAGATTTACAGCACACCTGCTACTCAAGGTAATGGCTGGTGTGAATACTCTTACCCTACTGTAAATTCAAGGTAGCTTACCCCACGTTGATTAAAGGGTAACTTCTATTTGCCATGGGATGTGGGCAGCTAACTCATTGTAAATCTGCACCCTTCCTTGTTTTGTATTAAATTGGCTGTCTGCTCTGTCTTTCTTTAAGCCGGATCAGATAAACTGGTAGTCTTAACATGATCTAGCTCTGAAAGAACATACTGAGAAATATTTCCGTACAGATTCAGTTATCTTTGCTACACTTTGTAAAATAAGAATTGTATCTTGCACTTTGACAAATATTTAAAACAATTGAAAGTCAAATCTTCCCTCCCCTCAGCGTGCATGGAAACTCCTTATAGTTGATAACAACTTGAACCTTATTGGCAGAACTTGGGTAGAAAACGACTCTCAAATTCTGGGTCATTTTTGTACCTTTTAGTAAAAACAGTAATAATAAAACAACATTTTGTGAGAATGCATGCATAGATACCAGTTATGTTGTCTGGACCTGTGGATAAAATCAGCTCAAGATACTAGCACACAGTTTCAAAGGAAAAAAAAGTCACTTATTAAATTCCTGGAATGCTATTTTTTGAGACCATCTTCTGCTATATGACTTTCCTGGGTCTATTTCTGATTTATTTGATTGCTCATGTGACTTGACTCCTGTTTTGAGCTTTATAAAGGCCTTATTGAATGTACATTTTTGCAGGCATGGTAACGAGCGGAGTGCTTCTGTTTCAGGCTCTGTGCAGCCAGACTCGCAAAATATAGGGCTGAAAATATACAGCTGTTTTTTCAAAATTTGAGGCAGTGATGCACATGTGAGATACTGCCAGATTCATTAAAGTCATCATTTAGTCCAAGGTACCTCAGAATTTGGCTGCAAAAGTAAGAGAGTGTATGTTTAAATATGTCTGCTATATACAGAATTGAAATTCAAATTATAGAGACTACTTTGTATGGTAAATATTTTCTGCTACGTGCTTCCCATTTATGTAGAAGTGAAATTTGGACCCTTTGGAACGTTTTATTTTTGTCATTGAAAGACACTGATTTGTGAACAATTCTGAAACTCTTGGGCCAGAGTCATATAACTATCTGATGCCATATAAGTGACACCATCTCATTTAGCCTCATTTCTAGCAGTATCTGTTAGTCCTTGTTGGGTTCTTTTAGCAGTTTGCTCAGTGTAAAAATTATCTGGCTATTTATGTATGCATACATATGGGTTCTTTACAGATTCTTCCAGTGTGTGAAGTAAATGATATTTCTTTAATGTGAAGCTGGCAGGAGCTAGTAGCATAGTTCCTACCACTTGAGCAGTAAAATGGAGACGTTTTCATTGATCCATAGATCCCATATCAGTCTTGCAGACATGAATAGTATTTGTCAATCATTTTAGACATAGGGTGATGGAAGCTTTTTTCATCAGAGCCCTTTCTCCTAGTATAATAATATTTTGAGGCTTCAGTTGTAGATTCGGCAGGGAGGGGTGGGAAGTCTCCTGACTCAGAGGAATGGCGAATGGTACTATCTTATAGTAGGGATCATTTCTGGAAACAACAGGAGTAATTTGCTCCAAGTAAGTCTTCAAGAGCATTGCAATCAAGTTCTCTGTTTAAGAGAATACTTCTATTAAAACAAAAAAGAAAGAAAGAAAATGTTTCTGTGTATATTCAAAATCATGGCCTATTTGATTATATAACCATTACTTCTATTGGCCATGAAGGCAGACATAACCTTTGCATTCTGGTTAGTCTGATCTGTTAACTGTTTCCATCTCAAGATCAGGAGGAAAAGGTAAAATAAAAATGCTGTGCATTTTTTCAGGTTAAGCTGAGACCGTATTTCTAAGTATTTGGCCTCCAGGTGCAGAGGGGATAGGTAGGAAAGGAGTAGATGACTACTGTGCTGAAAGTTCTCATTCCTAAAGCAGCATATGGGCACATTTGTTATCTCTTAAAATTTTGAATAAAATAAGGTGTCTCCTGGAGCATAAAGTTAAACCTGGCATAAAGTTAGTGTGAGTTCAGGGTCATAATGCTTAAATATTTTAAAAAATATCTGTTTCAGTTAGAATTGAAGAGAGTGAGGAACTTATTAGGTATCTGGACAGTGTATCCATCTTAACGAGAAGCACATGTTATAGTAATTTGGCATGCAGAAAAGAGCAAGACACCTTTGCGACATCTAATAGTGCTGCAATCTGAATTGGCCTCTTTGCTAACTTACACAGTTGGAGCTCCATGGGAATTAGTGGGTTGGTTCCCGTTTACATCAGCAGAGTGTGTTTAATCATAAAGAATAGAAAAATACTTGCTTTCTGCCAATATCCCATAATGATAAGGGAAATGTATGGTTCAGGATGCTGCTTTTGCATAAGGTGTTCATGCATTTGTGAACAACAAAATAAATATTACTTTTTTCATGCTATTTGAGTTTGGTTTTATGTGTTCCATAAAATGTGTTTGTGTCCCATCTTGCTTTGGAATACTTGCTAATTTTATAGTGTTGCTGAGGTTGTGCTGATGCTACATGTCATGTAGCACAAAAGTCTGTGGGGGAAATTTTTCTGGCACATATTCCTTGTCTGATGTTAAGGTTGGTAGACATTCCAGTTCTGCTTTTTGCTCCAAGATGATATTCTAGAGGCTTTGAAGTGACCCTTAGGGAACTGACTAAAAATACAGTGTCCACTTGGACAAAATACAGGTCTCCTGAAACATATTTTGGCTGTACAGCACAAACATCAGCATCAGTATTGCTCCAAATGTCATCATAAGCCTGGCAGAAAGTGTAAGCACCTGATAGAGCTGGCATTTAGTGCTCTACCAGTATGACACATCACTAGAGTATTGTGCTTTGGATATACAGGAGAGGGAGGGAAAGTTCAGCAGAGTGAAAAATGGGTGTAACATCTGAATATATTGGTTCTAGCCAAGAAGCCTTTTCAATCGATCTTCCGCCTCCTGTTTTAAGAAGGTGTTGATAAGAGAACCTGCATGCTGTGCATTGCAATGTTTTGCTGGACACTGCATTGTTTGTGGGGTCTTTCATCTGAGAAGATCAAGCACTTCAGACAGGAGGCATAATTCATTTGCTGTGTATGACCAGTTTTGTTATAGCTAGTTCACAAAGCCTGATCTCAGTCATCAGCCTTACCATACTGAGTTGCGCTCCTGTTGCACTCCTAGCACCTAAGCGTGGGTAGTAGAGAATCAGGTCTGCCGTGATAGCAAAATACAATGTGGTCGATCTGTTTCTTTTCTGCATCATTTGTAGCTGATGGTTCAATTCGTTGCTTGCATATTCCCTGAAATTAGAAAATACACAAGGTCTACAGAGCAGAATTTGTCGCTTAGATGATTAATGTTTGTTGCTGAATCCAGTCTTGGAATGTCTTTTTCATGATACTTATTCCCTACCAGTAAATAAAAATAAGCGTATGTGATCAAATTAGAGTCTTCAAATAATTTGATAGGATAGACTGGATCCTTTGTTTTCCATGTTAGCTTTTCTTTGTGTTGCTTGCTGCTCAGCTTCCAGGAAACTGGGCATGGGTGAACGTTTTATGCCCTGTTTGCTTGCTCAGCTCAAATCGTTGGAGTTATCACAAAGGATGAACTCGGTTGTAGTCTTAGAAGCTGCTAAGACAGCTTCTCAAAGACAGTTTTGAGGGCAGTGCTTTCTGTCTGTGGACTACTGCCTTTTGAGTATCGTATTTTAATTATGAAGTTGTTTATTGATGGGCTAGATCATAGCTGTTCTGATTACTGCAGTATCAGTTGTCCAGGTCTTGATAAGTGCAAACTGATCTGGTGGTGGTAAAACAGTGCTAGCAGCTACTGATGGACAAAGCACACAGTAGTTAATACAGTGTTGGGGAAAAAAAGCTATTTAAATTTTGATCCCATAAGCTGGAAATTATTTGAGCTCTCGTGAGTCACTGCTGTCTGTGAAATCAATATCAGATATGTTTTAGTCTGCTAAAAGAGAAGGGATCTTTGATTCTTTAAATGATTCAAAGATAAATGCTGTTTGTCCTTGTCTGACTGAGGGCTGTTACAGCTGCAGTTGTTAAATCTTGTTAAATTTGTTTTATGAGCAAACTGCTTTTATTTTGATATCTTTGTGAGGTGTGCTTATAAGAAAGAAATAGGCATACAGACAAGAATTGACTTGGGACGAAAGCTACAAAACTTGTAGTAGTTATTCTAATTTTTGATCTTGATTCTAGATATTACAGGAATGTAATAACTACATGGTTGTTTACTGTCATGTATTGTTTATAGGCGCTATAACAGTATACGATCAGTGTACTGGGGCACAATCACCTTCTAAAGTGCATGAGAATGCTTTCTGTCTTAAATTAGAGTAGAACTGGGAGATGCAATATCTAACCACAGCTGCTTATAGTAGAGATAGTGACACGTACGTTAGTAGGACTCATAAATAATAAATGGTTGCTCTATATTTTCTGATTAATAACCTCTTCCAGAGTTTCCAAGGAGTTTCTTGCAATAATGGACTCCAGGGTATTGTGTTGTCAAGGATTTCCAGTCTAAGGCATCACGTTATGCACGTTCCACTCAAATTAAAGGACTAGTTTTATCCCAACTTCTACTCTTGAGCAAAGGGAACAGTGATCCCAGCCCATCCAGCTACTTATGAATTTCCTTTACTGGACAGCAGATCCTCGCCTGGAGTTCACTGTCAGACCTGGTTCCCACGTACTTGGCAGAAGGAGCAGGAAAAGTCATTGGGCCAAAGAATAATTTTTGCAGTTCTCCCTACTCTCTAGACACAAAATTTGGCATGGTGTGTTTGAATATTTTCCACTGACAGCTTGAGGTATGGAGTTTGAAGAAAGTGTGGATTTGGATTCAGCACTCGTAGAGAATCCAGTATGCTTTTCAGCCATACTGAGTTGCTTGACATAAACTGAATGTACTGGAAACGTTCCAGTTAAACAGGAAAAATTGCTCTTAGGATTTCATCGGAAAGCGAGGGTTTATGAAGTAGCTAGTCTTTTACTAACAACTTGCCTTTTTCCCTTTGCTATCTTTAACTGTTGTGCATGCCTTTCTGCTCTTCTGCTGTGCTACAGGGCTTCTTGAACGAAGATTGCTATGTGTATTCAGGAAACAATTTAACTGCTATAGTTTATCACTGGGACATTAAAACTGACTTATCTTATGTTCTGAAATGCCTAACAATAGCGGTACAGTCTTAGCAGGTTGAGTAGTAACAATGCTTTGCCTATGGTGCTCTCAGAGCATTGCTGCGAAACTGGATGCGCTTGACAGTAAGGTAAGGAAGTTCCTTTCAGTACGTTAAAATCATTAACTTTTAAGTATTGTCTTCCTGCTCAAAAAAGAAAATTCTGGGCTGCAAGGGCGACCTCCAGTTCTGTGTTCTACGATATGAACATGTGTATTGTACGCTCGTAACCAGAGCTTATGACTGTGAGAGACTGAGAGTCTACTGTGCTATAAATTACGTTAGAGATTTTATACTGAGCTATTCTCTTCTGTGATCAGAGTTTTAATAAAGAACAGATTTTTATAAACATCTGACTGACTTTGTTTATTTCAAATGCAGGTAACCAGTACATATATACTGTCTTGCACAGGTTAAAAAACCTTATCCTGAAGTTCATGCTTCTTGATACTTGCTCTTTAGGCACAATTTCACCTGTTTCAGTGAAAATTTTCATTACCTGAGGGTACTCTGATGTTTACAGGATTTATAAAAGTTCTCTTACTGCATAGTGTGAGATTTACATGGTAAAAACAATCAGGGAATAATAGAAAAATCAGTGCTAAAACATTCTATATTTTTATTTATTTATTTTTAAGATTTACGGTGATGGTAGTTTGGATAATTACTTTAGTAAAACACAAGGGCACGTGATGGCAATGCATTTTGAACTCATGCACTGTTGGCTATGACATTACTGAGGAAAAAGCTGCTTTGTGCTAGGGCGCAGGAAGATTTTTCTTGCTTTCTCCTGTTTTATTACGTAAGATGTTTGAGAGAGCTCAACTATAGGATTGTATGTGCCACACTTGTAGCTCAACTTTCTTGCATTCCTCTTGTTGCATCAAAGCTACAGAATATAACTGTAGTGCTAAGGTAAGCAAGTGGCGTAAGTTGTCTGTCTTACAGGTTTATAAATCTTTTGGATCCGGAAAGCCAAATGTAAAGCCCTTTGAAAGCTACAGAGTATGTATGTACTAAAATCATTGTACTCCTAATCACCGAACCGCTATGACAGCAGTTGGAATTTAAATGTTGCAAGCCTGTATTTTTCGTCGTTTGGACTCTCACGTTACCTTGCAAAAGTACGGTTCGGCTCATATTTAGTACCTTATTTGAGAGAATTTCTTGTCCTTTTAATGTGTCGTGAGTCTTTTGACGTTTGGAGAGTCTGGTCCTGCCACGAGCGACCAGGGAGCAGCACTGGGCCCGGGATGGCGGGCAAGCTGTCAACAGTTCGTTGCAAATATTAAAAGGTGGTTGCTTAGCAACTCCAGTAGCTACTGCGTTAAATACAAGGAACTCATTTGCTTGACTGTGATGTGTTTTGCTTGGAATCTTAACAACTGACTGGGCTCTGCGTAGGTATGGTAATCTGACAGAAATAACGTCTGTTCTTTGCATCGCAGCTTGATACGTGTCAGGAACGAGGGGTAGGGGCACAGGGTTACAAACGCAGATGTCCAACACGTTAGTGGTTTGCTTGCTTTTCGGATTGAAAGCATGCTGAAAATAATGCATTGTCTTAGCCCAACAAAAGATTTTGAGCTCTGTTCCCAATTTAGATTTTGGTGCAGTAATTATGGCTGCATAACGTCCTGAGGCAATGTGATTTTTGTGTGTGCATGTGTGTGTTAAAATATACCATAGGCACAGCATGTTATACAGTAGTGCCTTCACTGAGCAAAAATCCCTTTAAAAGGGCACGTTCCAGGCACAAAGATTATCTGCCTAAATTGCTATGACCTGATGAGCAGTGCATGCTGGCTTAGAATTATAAATAATTTTTCCATAATCCATCGTAAAGGAGATAGAGTCAACAGCTTTATTGCCAATACTTTGTCTTGGCCGGGATATGGAGATATGCTCCTTTATTAGCCACACAAGCTATATTTAGGAACTAGCAATTCAGAAGAAAACATTTTCTTCCATCTCCTAAATCTTTTTGATTTAAAAAAAAAAAAAAAAAACATTAAATTCAGCACAACCAGGTCTGTTCTTTCTCCAGCACTGAAGTGTGCTCACTGAGGTTATTACTTACTGTTCTTTTTATGCCCTCTGATATCCTAGTAGCAAAAGCAACCAAATTAAGACATGTCTTCACTGTTGCTTGCCAGTAGTAAGATCTGAGGTGCTGATTATCTCGAAGCCCCAGCTATCGGAATTGCGTTAGA